GTTAAGTACAAATTTTAACAGTATCAAGGATGCCCTTCCCATGCATGCTTATATACTCTCTCTGCAGTGCTGCAAAATCTGTTGCATCATGCATGCAAAATATGCTATATATGGTGAGGATTAGTAAGTTGCACTCCCGAGACAAGATTACATGCCCTTCAGTGTACTTGTCATGTTAGGAAAGTTCCACACTTTAGCGGAGTATTACATTTCAATTATGGAGAATAAGAAGTGAATTGCACGTGATCTCACATTGTTGTAAAAGGTGACACAAACTTACCAAAACCATAAAACTCACACGACTGAAAACTGCAAAACTTGAGGCTTTAATCTTATGAAATGGCCCTTTGAATTACGGTAGCCACAACATGGGCTTTCTTATGTGTTCTACAATGATTCAATGTCTTCTAAAAGTACCACCAAAATACCAAAGGCTCATCACAGAGATTTTGGAAGAGACCACACCATAATGGTGGGACCCATTATTTTGGGGATATTATTTTGGGGATGCTGTCGATTTTCATTTGCTTTTAGTCACCGTGGTTTGGTTTCATTGCTATTTTCTCTTTTATTCCACTTCTTTAAATTCTTTGGTTCCTTTCAAAAAAAAAAATAAATAAATAAAAGTATATTTGCCCAATTTAATCAAACTTTAAATATATATTTTTTTCTTCAAAGTTCTCTCCCTCCCTCTATTTTCTCCTCTCTTTTTTTCGTTTTCTACTTCTTCTTCTTTTTCTTTCAAAGGGTCAGTAACATTTAACACCCCTATAAGATACATATAGTTCATATAATCCCGTTCTTAAAACCCGCTAACATTTATTTTAGGAGCGAACAAGGATCTCTCCTCATTTGGGTGTTAATGAAGTGATAAAAATATTAAAATGTCCTTCTTACAATTAAAATAAAAAAGTAAAAAATTCAGCTAACCTAAAATGACTATTATTGCCTTTATATTCAAAAAGGGTAAGGGCATTTTTAGTATTTAATACTTACAATTAATTAGTCATGTGCAAGGCTACTTTTCTAACATTGACTGCTGAAAAATCATAATTTGTAATATTTTAAAAATTTTAAAAAAATTATATACCCAAAGTAAAAGAAGGGTATTATACTCTCTTTTCTTGCAGTGATGTATGTGCAGTAACCTTTTTTTCTCCTTTATTATTCTTTTCTCCACCTCTTCTTATTTAAATTAATAATTATAATTCTATGAAGTCAATGTCCTTGCTAAAATAAAATTTTAGCTCGACCACCAAATTCAAAGACAGAGAATTTTATGGTGAAAACAACTGTTAGTCCCGAGCAAGCACTAATCGACAAACAAAAATCATTTTCAACGCAAGGGTGGCAAATATACAACGGTGAGAGTCACCCCAGAGTCACCCCAAGCATCTGGTGGGCCAGTTGGCGGGGGCTAATTCTCCCGCAGCCGTTAGTGGCAGGGGCGGGGGAAGGGGGGCCGGCGGGAGCCATGGCCCTCCTAATTTTTTGAATTTTTTTTTTTAGTATAGGTAAAAATAAAATAATATTGTATATATAGTATAAAATTTATACTTGGCTCTCCAAAGAAAAAAAAAAATTTCTTTAATTAGAATTTAACAAAAGATAGTTTATATAGTGGTTTAATTAATGACTATAAAATCTTGATAAAAATTAATTCACATAAAAATTTAATGTGGCTATCTTAAAATTTCAACTCAAATACCGTTTTTTTCATAATGTGACTACAAGTATGATTCTTTCCATAACTTTATTATTCCAAAATTTCATCTCATACATGATTCTTTCCATCACTTTTTTTTTTATTTTTTTTTATTTTTTTTTTTTATTATTCATTTTTATTGAAATGCTTTTATAAAAATTCTATAAGAAATTAATTTTTACAAAATCAAGAACAAAAATTTCATTTGAAGTTTTGAATATCAACAAAAATTGATGATTTAAGAATCTAAATTTTTATTTTATTAATTTGTTTGTTTGTTGTTTTTTTTTTTTTTTTTTTAAAGTTATTTTTTTTTTTTCCCTTTTCGGTAAATATAGAGAGTTATTTAATTGATTTTTTTTTTATAATTTTGTCATAAATCTTATTTGTGTTTGTTTAGAAAGTTTGATAAAAAATTTCTTTAAATAACTAGTTTTTTTTATTTAAATAAATTGAAAAAAGTTTAAATAGATTTATTTTTATATGAATATAATAAGTAGTAATATATTTTTGCCTACGTAATATATATATATTTTTTCTAAAATTTTAGTTAGGTAATGTTGTTTATAATTTTGGCCCATCAACCTCAAAATCTTGGCTCCGCCCCTGATTAGTGGCACCATAGAAAGTCCACCATTGACGACGACTTGACTCTCCTCCAATGCTGCAACATTGTCAAAGACTTAAAATTTGTTGCTTAGCATGGTTTGGTTGCCTCGACTTGATTCTGAAAATTGCTAATTAACCACAAGAGGAACGGTGGATACGGTCTTCACTGCAAGCTGGCCGACCTAGCCACCATTATTTGATTATTTAATTTCACCCACCAGTACAGTTGCTCTCTACCTAAGCCATTCCTCAATTTCTTTTCTTTTTTATTTTTTTATTGCCTTTCAGGGCAAGGATGGTAGAGGTTCAATGGTTAGTTATTAGAGGGGAGTGGATGGTGTGATGCTGGAATTAGGATTTTCAGACACGGGAGTCATGGTTTGGAGTCGGGGTGTAATGAATTCGGATAAATATCTGTGTAAATTAGTTGAACCCTCGGTTTATGCAGATGTGTAACGACATCGAACTCTTAAAAAAAAATTATAAACGAAACAATACGTCGCGCATCCACCAATAAAGCGAATCATCATAGAGAAATCCAAAATTACTCTAGTAACACACACTTGTTTTTTAAAAATAAAAAAAAAATAAAAAAAAAAATATTGAAGAAACAACAAGATTCTTAAAAAGCTGTGAAAGTACAACTGTTTTTTTAACATCACCCCTTGTCGTTTGTATGGTAGGTTTCCTTAGGAAATCTGACTTGAGAAGGGATCTTTCTGGTGGGGTCCATTTTATATTTGATTTAATTAGAAGTAAAGTAGTTCTATGCATTTGTAAAGTTTCTTAATTTGTTTAGTATTGTTTTTTTATTATATAAACGAAGGTTGAATTGAATTATTAATTTAGGAAAATATGTCCATGTGTCATACTACCGACTACCGACTACTACTATTCTGTCAAATCTGACCGTTTTGTCCATTTAATAATATCAGACTTTTAGCTACGATTGAAAACCTCCAATTTTTTTTTTTATTCTTTTGTAATTGCAATTCTTGATTTTTACTAGTAAATCAAACCTAACATTCAGGAGCTGACCCATCTCCATAGCTTGGCATACATCACGTGCAACCCAGCTCGACAGTGATGGGCCTGGGCCTGGGCCCGGGCCTGATTTTACCATTATTACAACGTCATTCAAATGATCAAAAAAGCATAAAATTCAGGAATTATTTGTAGCTAGCTTATTATCCTCGTTACTGTGTATTTATTATTTTGACCTCTTATAAGATTTGACATATGTAGGTAATGACACTCTTAGAGTTTTCTTTCGGGTAGACCAGTTGATAAGTTTTATAAAATGACAATTTTACTCTTCTGTTATATAAAAAGTTAAATGACACTTACGTTGCCAGAAGTTGGACAAATTACACATGGGTTACGTGAGTTTTCAGATTAACAAATATTTGTAATATAATATATTATTACATTATAAGGGTATTGTTGACGTTACACACTCAGTCATCTTCCGGCAACCCACAAATGAATTTAGGAGATGCCAAAGTACTAAATGTTGAACGGTCTAATTGTATTTAACTTGCCATTTTGATGGATGAAGAACTCTAGGGGAGGTCACTATAATTTAACCCCTATTATATCTAGTTTCAACACATTAAAACTATTTATTTTGATCAGACTTAATGTGTTGAAATATATAATTAATGAGCTGAAAAGTAAAATGAATATGTTGAAAAATAAAGTAATGTCATGTTTAAAAGCACCGAATTAGTATCTTGGATTGAGGTTGAAAAAAGTTGAGTTTAAAATTTGTACTAAATTTTTTCGAATTTTTAATTCAAAATATCAATTCTGTGCCGTTAAATATTTCATAAATGTCTAAACGGTAAATAATCCACCTGCATTGTGTAACAAGGACATGAGACAATGTTTGACGGGGATTGTCATTTGTCACATGCAGTCAGGCATGGACCCAGCAGGTGACCAGCAGATGCTCCCCCTGGATTTTTAATATTTTCATTTTATGCCCTAATTTTTTAAAATTTTATGAAAATACCCTTCCTAAAATTACAATTCGCCCCCACTGGATTCTTTTTTTTAGCATTTTATACATCAAATTTTGATAATTTATAAAGATGCCCCCACTAGAATTATAATTTGCCCCACTGATTTTTTTTTTTTTTTCATTTTATACTTTAAAATTTTTAAAATTTATGAAAAATACCCTATTAAAATTACAAAAATAAACCCATCATATAATTTTATACCTACAAATTAAAAAGCCGTTCCTCCTCACAAAATTTTCTGAGTCCGTCACTGCAAGCAGTCACCATCGATTAAAGTAGTCTGCCCGTGCTTGGGAACTCTAAGGGTCACTTGTATGAATGTGATTCACTTGTTATAATTTTTTTTTACATTTACTATTTCTTTATTGTATTTTTTTCTTTGTGTGTGTGTGTGTGATAGCGAGTGTGTGTGTGTGTGTGAGAGAGAGAGAGAGTGTTAACGTCAGGCGTCACTGAGACTAAGGCTCTACCTAACGTAAGAATGGTAAAAGAATTTTGTGGGGGGAAAGTATAGAGCTAAATTGTCAACTGCACCAGAAAGTCCCACAAAAAATCACCCCCAACGACCTCTCCCCGAACACGTGCTTCAAAAGACTGTTTCAGAGACCTGGATCCTTCTATATAATAAAATGAAGGTGTGTTTGTATATATACATATATATATATATGTGTGTGTGTGTGTGTGTGTCGTGTGTGTATATAAGCTAGTTGTGTAGCAGAGTGGAGAATAGTGTCCATTCCAGTCATAAGAAATGGGTGTCTTCTCACATTGCCTATCCTTCTATTCATTGGGTGTGGTGTTACTAGTCATTTGCAATATTGCTCGCGCCGAAGACCATTTCTATGATTTTGTTGTAAGTCCACACATTCATTTGCGCGCTATCTATTAGTGTGTGTTTGTGTGTGTGTGGAACTATTTTTTATTTTTTTTTGACTTGTATATTCATTTGATTGATTGCAGCTAAAGGAGTCGAATTTTACAAGAATGTGCAGTACGAAGAGCATGTTGGTTGTGAATGACAGTTTTCCGGGGCCTGTTATTACTCTGCGCAAAGGAGATACTGTGTTTATCAATGTTCACAATGAAGGAGAATATGGTCTAACAATTCATTGGTACTCTCTCTCTCTCTCTCTCTCTCTCTCTCTCTCTATATATATATATATATATATATATATATATATATCTTTGATTCACATATAAAAAGGCAAGACAAAGTTTTGAAAGAAAAATATTAAAACTACACTTTTCCAGTTCTACGTACACCAAATAATAATCGAGAAATTATTTTGAGAGTAAACCCAAAGGGTCTTAAATCTTTATTGGAACACTAAACCCAGGCCTACTACTCAATATTTATTCAGTTTCGCTCTAGTTTAACCAGTTTACACCCCTATATTTTGAAATTTTGATAAAGATTATTGATTTTTTCTTATTGAGATTTAAAAAATTTACGAATTTTCTTCAACCTTTAGTCAACCGACAAAAATTGCTTGCATTAGCAAAGTTGACTTACAAATATTATATTTGTTTTTATCTTTTCAATATAACTTCATTGCTCAACTAAAATAATAATAATAATAATAATAATATTATTATTATTATTATTATTTTTTCCGGACAAGAAACTCATACCCATGTGCTCCTCTCGAGACTTACCATGGAACAATACCAATATTATTTTTAACATAAAAGACGTGTATAAATTATATGAAACCTCACTATTATTTAATAGGAACATTGTGATTCACCAAGATCATGCGCTGGTCACGAACCATATTATAATTCCTTAACCAACCAAATTGTTATCTATATATATATATATATATATATATATGGTGTTTTAAAAGGCTGACGCATTTATTTTTATATTTACTAGTGATGGTCCACGAGTAATTCTTTGGGAACTAAATAACAATTGCATTTGGTTTTTTGAACAAGAGAATTGTAAGTCAATGATCAAAGTACAGTAGCAAAGCACCCACAACTACAAGTCAACAACAATTCATGCATGCCTTGAGGGAAAAATAAAAATCTTAAATAATTTTTTACTACTGGTTTTCTTCTTTTAAATTATAAAATAGCGTCCCTCACGTTTTTATCAATGTATATGAGTTATTGTCGTCTTTATTTTGTTCCAAATTAATAGATTATCTTTTTTCATTATTTCGGATTAATTACAAACCACGTCTCATTACACAAAACTAAAACTAAAAAAATGAAGTGAATTTAAAGAAATATATGTGTGTGTGCATATATATATATATATATATATATATATATATATATGAGTTTGAGTATATATATACACATACACATACCATTACATTAAGACTCCGTTTGTTTGGATGTAAAATATGTTTCAAAAAATATTTTTTTATTTTCTGGTGTTTGATTGTCGTAAAATATTTACAAAGAAAAAAAACATTAAAACTTAACAATAATAACCCACCCATCAATTTTTAGCAAGTTATTTTACACATTCGGCTCGATAGACTCGACCTCAACCTCTACCTCAACCTAAACTTTTTCCAAATACTGAAAAAGTAAAAATAAAAAAATATTTTACTTAAAAAAAAAATCTTTTATGAAGAAAATATTTTACGTCGAAACAAATGGAACCTAAATTAAAATTAAAAAATGAAGTGAATTTAAAGAAAGCAGGTGAATTTTAAGTGTTAAAACAAAAAATCAATATTATATTATACAATTTCCCATGGACATCACTACCCATAAATTAACGCATAACCAGAACACACCATAATCACCACCCCCAATGGGCGATGACCCCATCACCACCATAACAATTGGATGAGTCGGTAGGATTTCTTGATTTGTTATATATATATATATATATATATATATATATATATATTAGAGAAAGGAAGAAGAAGAGAAAGTGGGAAGGAAATATGGTGGTGAAGAGTGTGTTTTGAGGTTTATCATGTGTTTAATTTGAAAAGGAAAAGCTTGAAGAATGTAAAAAAAAAAAAATGGTGGAATTAGAAAGCAGCAAAGTGATAGAGAAGAGTGGGTAGGTAATAGTAATTAGTGAGGGCAATTTTGTCCTTTCAGATTGTTGATATTTTAAATTTAAAAAATATAAAAAATTAAGGGTAAAATTGTCTTTTCATATATATTTAACAGTATTAGTGACGAAAAAGTAAAATTGAACTTAAGTGATAATAATTTTCGAAAGATATTTTAATGTGATATTTGGCTAAACTTGAGGGGTGTCTGAAATTAACTTAAAAATACATCTTAAATAATTTTTTTACTATTGGTTGACTTTGAACCGGCACGTTAATATAATATATACTAGTTATTGCTGTCTTTATTTCTGTTCCATATAGATTATCTAGTTTCATTAATTCGGATTACAAACCACGTCTCTTATAATATTTCATTTTTAAAAATTAATTTTGATTACTTCATTCAATATAAAATTGAAGAAACTGAAAATGTGTGCAGGCATGGAGTGAAGCAACCAAGGAATCCATGGTCGGATGGTCCAAATCACATCACACAGTGTAAGATCGAGTCCGGGACAAATTTCACCTACAAGGTCATATTTTCTACTGAAGAAGGGACCTTATGGTGGCATGCCCATAGTGACTGGACTCAGAGTAGTGTCCATGGTGCCATTGTTATCTTGCCAGCTGAAGGGACCTCTTACCCTTTTCCCGAGCCTGATGGAGATGAAGTCCTAATACTAGGTATATATATATATATATCAAATGAGAACTGCTATATATGAGTAATTTTGTTCTTATACCCTAGCTTAATGATCAGTAACATTCGATTATATATTATGAGGTTAATTTCACTTACACTCCCTCAAGTTTGGCCAAATATTACATTAAATTATCTTTCTAAAATAATTATTATTCACATTACAAATATTTAGTCTGTTTTTCACTTACACCCCAAAAATTGCTTTTCAAGTGTGTTAAATACCTTTTTGCATGTAAAATGACATTGCTACCTTCCTAATTATCTGTTGACTTAAAAAAGGATTGAAATGACTTGAATATCCTTTGACCTTCATTATATAAATTTAAAATTGTTCTTTATATATATATATATATATATATATATATATATATTTCATTAATAAAACCAACCAAATTATAATTATAAATTTATAATTATTTTTTAAAACTAACCAAATTATAATTATTTTTTAAAACAAAATTATAATTATAAATATATAATTATTTTTTAAAACCAAATTATAATTATATAAATATTTTGTAAAATTATTCTTTATATATATATTTCTCATCATGTACACCAAAAAATATATATTTATGGAGAAAAGAGTGAGATGAAGAGTTTTGGGGGTGATAGAATAATAAATGAGGGCAATTTGGTTATTTAAGGCTTTTGATATTTTGAATTAAAATAGATTTAAAAAATAGAGATAAAATTGTCATTTTGTACCTTTTTAACGTAAAAAGAAATTGGGGTTTGGGTGGTAGTTAATTTCAAAAGATGTTTGACGGTGAAATTTGGCCAAACATGAGGGGGTGTCAGTGAAATTAATCCTATATTATTCACATGCTTGTTAAATCAATTGGCACAACACATTTTATAATATGAAATCATTAAGAAGTTTATTATACCCAAAATTCATAAAAGTTAATTTTTCTTTAATCAAATTACTAGAAGGCTGGACCAAAAATCACTACTAAAGTAGATACGAATAACGCTGATAGCATTAGGAATTTCATGCTAGCTTATATTCCCTGTTTCAGATTGTAAACTCATCTTGCTCATTCTTAATGCAAACTTGCAGCATCTTGGTACAAAGCAGATCTACCTGCTGTGCTCGAAGTGGATCTATCTGTCGGTGCAGACTTGCCACGAGCAGATTCTTATGTCATTAATGGCTACCCAGGAGCTTCCTTTGAATGTGATGGTATGTCGTATGTCTCATGTATGTGTTTGTGTGTGTATTAACTAGAATTACATGTTAATGCCACTTTTTGAGGCTGCAACTCTTACATGCTAGTACTACACTGAAATGAATTTTGATGCAAAGTCCAACTCTCGGACTAATCTGACTGCATTCATGTGAGTAAAGGATGACGTCATTATATCATCAATCATAATGACGTCATTCTCCACCCACATAAAATAGTCACATTAGTCGAAGAGCCGGACTACTTATCATTTTCCCACTCATGGAGGCTGCTTAAGGTTGTTTTTCCTAAGTGTTTTATTAGCCATATATGCTGATAAATTTCACTCATGCACTGCAGAGGAAGCATACAGATTCTTTGTAGAGTATGGCAAGACCTATCTTCTCCGCCTCATCAATGCAGCCGTGAACTCAGAACTCTTCTTCGCGATTGGTGGTCACAACTTCACTGTCGTCGGAATGGATGGGAACTACTTGAAGCCCTTTTCGACCTCAAGAGTGGTGATATCTCCAGGACAAACCATGAACATTCTACTCACAGCGGATCAGACACCGAGTCTCTATTTTGTGGCTGCAAAACAATTTGTCACAGTTGGGGATGCTGATATAGAAAACGCTACTGTGGCGATTATGGAGTACATAGGTGACTATGATCCTCCATCTTCACCTGTGTTTCCTGTGAGCCTTCCTGACAAAAGAGACATTACAATCGGAAATGGATTCTTGTCTGAGCTTAAGAGCTTAGCAAGTGAAGACCACCCAGTGAACGTGCCACTAGAGATCACTACCCATATGTATATTGACGCATCCCAGAAAGAAATGGAATGCCCACATGGGTGCCCAACCCTGGATGGAAAGAAGATCAGCTCAGCATTGAACAACATCACTTTTCAGAACCCAACTCGGGATATACTGCTAGCCTATTACAGGTAATCCTACTCTCTACGCCCACAATATTATTCCTAACAGGGTTCGAAGGCTGAACCTCTCCTCTGGAGAGAAGAGTTCATACTATCTAGACTAATGCCTATTGGTCTCTCTCGTGTTCTTTATTAAGAAGTAAATAATTGTATCAGGATTAATTCATATTTTGCATTCATTTCTTTAATCCATTACAGCTGATATATACACCATTTTGGTACCTTAATTTATGCAGGAACTTAACTGATGTTTACACTGACGATTTTCCGGACAGACCGGAACATGTTTTCAACTTTACTGGGTACAATTTGACAACTGCGAATTATACTACACCATCTATAGGGACCAGAGTGAAGATGCTAGACTACAATGAAACAGTTGAGATAGTGTTCCAAGGGACCAATGTGTTGGAAGGAGCTGTGAATCACCCAATGCATCTTCATGGATACAGCTTTTATGTAGTTGGATCAGGGATTGGAAATTTCGACAATGACACCGATCCAAAATCATATAATTTGGTCGATCCACCTGAATTGAATACCATTCGAGTTCCTAAAAAGGGATGGGTGACTGTCAGATTCCAAGCGAACAATCCAGGTATATATGTTTTTTTTCCGAAAGTTCAAGCAAACATACACATTCAGACTCCTGAATCTCTTAGTGTGCGAATGAAGGGATTTCAGGCATGGAGCCCCATGTCGGATCCCCTCCGCACAGAAGGAGATCCTAATTCTTACCATCTGGACTTATGTTCCGATACTAATCTAGCTATATATGTTCTTTCTTGAAAATAATTATAAGAACAAAACATTGATATATATGTGTATATATTTACACACACATTACACTAACATGTAACATGTATGAGATTTTTTGTCAGGTGTGTGGCTGTGGCATTGTCATTTGACTAAGCATCTCACTTGGGGTATGAAAACTGCATTTATAGTGAGAGATGGTGGCACTCCTGAGACAAGCATGTTGGATCCCCCTCCGTCGATGCCTAGATGTAGTAAATCGTTCAGACATTATATCCAAGACTATGATCATTCATTTGAGATGTCTATATATTAATCATGAGCTTGATTAAGTGCTCATTAATATTATTATTGAGACAATTTATTTCTTCGATTTGTTACAAGAACAATATTATTGGTATTTTGTAGTGAACAATATAAAATGAGTCTGCAGTGTGTTGTAGTACTATTATCATCATTGCTGCGCGCTTTTGTAATTTTTTCATGAAAGTTCTTTCAATGTTGATATATATATCATAGACACTGTTTTGCTTCACATTTCCCATGATATTCTTTCAATGGATCACTTGTGTTGATTAAAAAATTACACCAAATATCCCTGATATGGCACAATTACATTGATTTAGACTATTCTTATAAAAAATGTTTGATTTAGAATATTCTTATAAAAAATTGTTACCTAACCTCAACACTTGGAATGAGATTGTTGTTTTGAAGCACTTGTGGCATATAATCAGCTCAAGGGACATGCTGTAGGTAAAATGGATTAATATGTACCTGCTTAAAGGTAGAAGTTTATGGGAAGTCGAGGTACCTGGAGCTGAAGGAAGCTTCTTAGTCTAAGAGATGTCATGAAGCCACTTGTCAAGCTCAAAATTGGAGATGATTCGAGCTCCAATTTCTAGTTTGACAACTGGTGCCACATTGGTCCTCTTCATCAGCTGGTTTCCCCTCAACAGATCACTGCCTCTGGATTTGACAGCAAAACAAATGTCTGGACCTTTATCACAAACAACTCTTGGCCTTTCCCATCCTCTATCTCCCATATCCTACCTCAGCTCCACATTGGTCAAATTCCTTCTATTTGAAGGCCTTTGAAGAATGCATTTCAATGGAATGAATTTAGAAGATAAAAGTTGTTTGGGATGTATTTTTTGAAATTTCTTTCAACAATTAATATAGTTTTAACTTAAACAATTTTATCCTTAATAATTACCCTAAATAATTTCCAAGAAGACTACAAATCTTTCTGTAGTTTAATTGACATACAGCAGGAAAAAAATAAAAAAAAGAATTGACATACAACAAGAATAAAGAAAATTATAAAAATAGAAAAAGAGATAATAAAAGTGATGAAGTGAAGATAGTAGATAAAAAAAATAAAAATAAAAAGAAAGAAAGATAGTAGATGATGAAGCTTATGTTTATGCTTCCATTGTTGTCGTGCTAATCAATTATTGAAGATTTAATGTTAATTACATACTTGAGAAACCGAATATCTCTTCATTGTGAAATCACTTTTTACTCTCAAACTTCTTTAGAGGTCGTCGGCAATGTGACAAGAAAAAAGATGAGAATGCACCCAAGTTTTTGTTGACACCCATTTTGGCATTTGGGTCGTAGGCCCAATTTAATATCTGGGCCGTGGAGGATATTTGGGTAATGGATTTATGATTGGGCTGAAGGTGGTTTAGATTAGCAGTTTAATTGGGATGAAACATGGATTACAGAGAAAGAACAATGGACTTGGATAATGATTAAGATAGCTATAATGCAATTATAGGAAGAATGGGCCGATTACAGGGTTGAGTTCTTGGTTAGAAGAAGCGCTGGGCAATTTCACATACAATACAAGTCACACGCAACATGCCGAGCTAGAATACCTCATAATTAGGGTCCTCTAAGGGTACTTATTATAAGGACCCTAATTATGAGGTATTCTCGGCAGAAGTTAGAGATGAATTAGAAGTTGAAGTTGCTGAGGTCAATATCAAGAAGCCATACATTTGTGAGGCATTAGTCAAATCTAAGCCGACCACGGGGTGCAATGCAACATCAACATCGGTAGTAAGGAAAGGCCCTGCCGATACAGGGAAAAGCTACTCGTTTGAGTTATCAAAAATAGATCAAATCTTTGATCACTTGATGGCCGACAAAATGATCTCTTTGCCTAAAGGGCATAAGATTCCATCGGCAAGTGACCTCAAGAGAAAAGAGTATTGTAAGTATCATAACTCTTGGAACCATGCTACTAATGATTGTACTGTTTTACAAGGTAAATTGTAGAAAGCTATTGATGAAGGTACTTTAAAATTCCCGGAGAAAACTTCAGACACTATGAAGGTGGATACTAATCCGTTCCCTACAATCACATCTACAAATGTGATAAGCTTAACCAAGCGAGAAAATCGGCAAGAGTCTGAGACGATATCAGGAGAGTTCCTATCATCAAGTACGACACTATAAAAGATGGCAGAATTGCAGAAACAATTAAGAGATGCTCAATTGGCCCTGATAGATCAGGGTTGTTACCCAAATTACAAAGGAAAGTAGAAACTTAAGGAAGAAGATCCAATGAAGATTCAACCAAAGAAGAAGAAAGGAATTCTTGAGAGGCTTACCTTGCTAATTAAACCTAGTAAAGAGCCTAGGCAATACAATTCCAGGAGCAGTAATGTTAAGGCAGAAAAACAGAATCGGTAAGTATATATATCTAGCCGATTCCATCCCCAAAATCGACATCTTAGTTTTAAAAGAAGGTTGCCAGTTCAATAAAAAATTTGGGTACAAAAGGGAGCCGATTTATACAAGGTGCGAACTGTGAAACCAAGGACAGCCTTAACTGAGGACAGATGGACTCGAGTCAATCACCCAAAATTCCCTAAAGTTCAACAATATCAGAATAGATGCCTTACTTGATCTCAAAAACGCAAGGAACAAAGGAGAAGGGCAGAGGAAAAAAGGAAAGCTGAAGAGGTAAGCAAAGAAGAGTTGGTTGAGGAAGTCAGTATTCTCGATAAAGATCAACCGAATGAGGTAGAGGAGCATCAGCCGACATGGCCTAGACGCAAAAATAAGTTCAAAACAAAATTCAATTTGGCAGTTTCCTAGATGAAATGTCATGTAATATGACATTTGTATTACTAGCAATGTTCTAGGCCCCATCAACATCAAATGCAAGTACTGAAAATAAGGAGAAAGAAATTCAGCCGATTCAGAATTTATTAATTCTTTCTTCAGAATCGGTAGAAAATGCAGTCTTTGAGAAACCTTTGTTAGTACTGACTCAACAACTAAGGCCTTTATATGTCAAGGTATGGGTAGAAGGCTAACCTATTAACAAAGTCTTGGTTGATAATGGCTCAGTCCTAAATGCTATTCTAGCTAACACTTTGAAGAAGCTTGGTAAGAGTATGGAAGATGTTATTCCCACTGATGTTGCAATTTGTGGGTTTAACGGAGGTTCTACTAGCACTAAAGGAATTTTTCCCTTAGAGGTCGAAGTTGGAGAACGAACATCATTCACGGCATTTTTTATTAATCTATGACCTCATATAATTTGTTGTTAGGTCGTGACTGGATTCATCCAAATATGTGCATCCTATTATCATTACACCAAATGCTGATCTTTTGGGATGTGGATAAGGTAAAAATAGTGAATGCCGATGATAAGTCATTAGTGGCAAAAATATACTCGGTAGATGCTATTTTGTATGATGAAGAGTGTTCCGATTCGATTTGTAGGAACAGGGGCCGATGGAAGACCTATATCGACAACCATGAGAAGAAGTCTTGCCGATTGAGAAATCGGCGAGTTGCAGCAGGAAAGTTCTAGGCCGAAGGTAGAATTTCCACGGCTTGCTATAATTGAAGAAGAAGTTGTTAATGGAGGCGAAACTTGAAAGAGAATTAGCTCGATAGCAGGCCTTTAGGGCCGCTTGCGTTAGGTTACAAGTATACATAGCTGAAAAACGGTTAAAAAGGGAAGCAAAAATAGAGCCAGGACTATCGGCTAGTGTTGCTGAAGTTGATCAGATCGATAATGAAAAGTTGGATGTTATTCAGTTAGAAGACTTAGAATTAGCACTAGCTAAGCTTGATGATCTTAAAGCAGAAACTCAAGATCCATTAAAGGAGGTGAATTTAGGTACTGATATAGCACTTAGACCAACCTACATCAGTGCACTGTTAGAACCAGAATTACAAGCTGAGGTAATCGGCATGTTAAAGGAATACGGTGACTGTTTTGCTTGAAATTATGAGGAAATGATGGGTTTATCCAAAGATCTAGTGGAACATCGGTTACCCATTAAAGACGGATACAAGCTATATAAACAGCCACCTCGCCGAATGTCTCAAGAAGTGGTAGATAAAGTTAAGATGGATATTGAACGATTGTTGGATGTTGGGTTCATTCAAACTACAAGGTATGTAGAATGGCTATCAAATGTAGTTCCTGTTATTAAGAAAAATGGAAAATTACGAATATGTGTTGATTTCCGAAATATAAACTCGGCAACCCCAAAAGATGAGTATCCTATGCCAATAGCCAATCAGTTGATTGATGCGGCTGCCAAGTATGAAATCATGTCTTTTATGGATGGACACTCAAGCTATAATCAAATTTATATAGCCGAGGAAGATATTCCAAAGATAGCTTTCAGATGTCCAGGATCGATTGGAACTTTTGAGTGGGTGGTAATGCCTTTTGGATTGAAAAATGCTAGTGCTACTTATCAGCGAGCTATGAATTCTATTTTCTATGATATGCTCAGCAAGTTTATGGAAGTATATATTGATGATGTAGTGGTGAAATCAATAACAAAAAAAGAACACTTAGTTCATCTCAAAACATCTTTTGAGAGAATGAGGGCTCATAAGTTAAAAATGAATCTAATAAAGTGTGCCTTTGGAGTATCGGCAGGAAACTTTTTGGGATTTTTGGTACACCAAAGGGGCATAGAGATCGATAGGAACAAAGCTTAGGCGATTATTGATGCTAGTGCGCCGAGAAGCAAGAAGCAATTGCAGAGGTTACTTGGTCAAGTGAATTATCTCAGAAGATTTATTACTAATACAGCTGGTAAGTTGTATGTATTTTCCACTTTACTTAAACTGAAGCCGATGGAAGAATTCAAATGGGATGATACACACCAGAGGGCATTTGAGCAGATCAAGAAGTACTTATCGAGTCCTCCTGTCATGATGCCGCCGAGGAAAAAGTGGCCGATGAAGTTATATTTATCGGTTGCTGAAGAATCCATAGGAGCTATGCTGGCACAAGAAAATGAAGTAGGAAGTGAACAAACAATGTACTATGTCAACCGAGTATCAACCCCAGTCGAGTGTAGATGCACGCCGATTGAGAAATTATGTTTGGCTTTGTATTTTGTAGCAATGAAATTAAGAGTATATATGTTGCATGTTTTGGTTTATATTATTTGTTAAACAGATCTTATAAAGTATATGCTATCAAGGCCCTTAATCACAGGCCGGATCGGCAAGTGGGCTCTGGCACTAATGGAGTTCAACTTT